AAGTAAATGTTAATACAAACAGAGTTTACAGAAATATCTAATGAAAATAATTTCCTTTATTTTCAACTGTTTGTAAACAAACTCTTGAATAAATAAACAAAAACAAACACTGTGCAGAGCGATTCATTGGATTTTAATCTGGATTTTCGTTCCCATGTTCTAACGAACATCATCGAGCAACACAGAAAGTGCACGCTCCACCATCACAATCAAGAGCTCCTTAAATGAGCACTGAGCACGCACCTGCATGAGCCAATCACAGCTCCTCCCTGCACCTGACCGCAGTGACCTCATACAGGCCATCGAGACAATATTCAGCACGACAGAAGCTGAGGAGCTCCTCTAAGAGAGGAGTGATGCACGAGTGATGTGAACCAAACACGCAAACAGAGGAGTGTTGTGCGTCTGCACCACAAAGCAACACAACTAAATTATTCAGCCACCTGCAAACACACAGCAAATCAAAGCACGAAGGCCAGAAAAATGAGACGGAGGACGCTGACGCAAAACATCTGACATCAGCTCAGCGCGGCGCGCCAGCTTGTACACATGCACTGAAATCACCAACCAATCAAAGAGAGGGCTCAACACAAAGGTCAACAGATGTGTCGTCCCCTCACAAAGTTAATTTTTCCAAATCCTGCACCAATATTGGGAATAAAACAAAATAATTTTCACACATGTGCACAGAACGAATCAGTTTCCTGGTTGTGTCGCAGAAATCCTACATGCTGAATTCCCCTTAGCAGGACCGGAGCTCCGCCTTCGTGGATGAGCTGTTACTACAGTAACCTCACAGCAGCCACGTTATTGGTCACGTGACATCATTAAAAATGTTCCAAAAGGCTCCAACAGCACAAACACGGTCCGGAGGTCCAGTTCAGGTGAAGCTGAGCAGTCAGCTAGCAGCTACAGCCACCTGTGTCATCACCCACCCATCAGTCAAAGAGGCCACGCCCCAAATCATACAAACTTTAAGCATTATTACAGTTTAACCAGGTGAACCCTAAAAACATTCTTCTACTGTACAGGTGTTATGAAGGAGGACATTATCCACAGAGACAAACAGTTTGTGTATCAGGCTGCAATCATGTTTATTTCTGCTGTACAGTTTTAACATGGGAGTCTATGGGGACTGACTCACTGCTGCCTCTGCTGGACGTCAGAGGAACTGCAGTCTTTTCATTTGCCCCACGGGGTGATGTTTGGGGGAAAAAACCGATGATTTATTTCTCGCTGTAAAAAAATTCTGACCACTAATTTGGCAGAATTTAATCTGACAATTTTAAATATATTTGAGCACATTTGTTCCTCACTGATGCGCTATGTGCGGAAAAAACACCTGCTGGTCGGAGTCCTCACAGCTGGAAGTTTAATATTAGTGAAGATTTGTTTTTTTTTAAATATTTGAAGGTGTGGCTGTGGATGAGGCTGAGATTGTAGTGGGCTTCACCTTGCACTGAGGGTGGTGTTAGTGTCGTCTGTGTTTAGTATTTCCGTATTTGTGCCGCACCTGGAGAAGCTCAGCTACACCTTTATGTTCATTTTAAACCAAGAAACGAGAAGAAGAGAGGCTAAGAGGATGCGATCCCTAATGCGGTCCAGGTGGAGCAGATGTGCATCACCTGAGCCTCTGCAGCACATCTGGATCACCCCTGCAGCTCCGCGCTCACACCAGCTGAAATAATCAGGTGGAGTCCGAGGATGTTTACCGCAGACTGGTGTGTGCGTGTGCGCGCGTGCGTGCGTGTCCTCACCCAGCATGGAGAAGATGAAGTCCTTGGCCGTGTGGATCTCCAGAGCCCGCTGGTCGTCGTACTCCCGCTGGTCGTGCTTGCTGAACTCCTGGATGAGCCGGTTCAGGTCCTCCATGCGGGCCGCCGACCTGAAGTCCAGCTCGGGCCCGCCGCCGTGCGGCAGCCTCCCGGCGGCCATGGTGGGGCTGTTCCCGAGGCTGCCCGACGAGCCAGCCCGGCCGGAGAGAGCAGGGGCCGCCATGGTTCCTCCGCGGTCACACGCTGGTTCTGCACTGCCCACGCTGCAGCTGC